ATGCATGTTAGCAGTATGATTAGTACTAGTTTTACAGCAAGGACTGGCTGTCCAGGAAACCACCCTGCATACCTTGATTGTATGTATGATTGCTGTAGAGTTTATTTATTTGAGCAGCCATGTTATAAAAACAATGTGCAGCATTGTCATGATACTTGAAATAACTGCTTAATGGAATTGTTGGTTTAAGGACCTTGTCCTGCTCATTGACTGCCTCAATGGGCAGATGGAAAGACAACTAATTAGCTGTACCCTGCCTGGCTGATCCATACTCATGGCAGCTTTCAGAGCTAAGGGAACTGAGGAGATTACACAGTCAAGTTCTCCACATAAATTGTTTTGTGTCATGGGCCAGATTTAGGATCTACAACTGCCTGAAGAGTTGTGTTCACTTTCACATGAGTAAAAGTTTGATTCTCATCCAGCTTAGAGAAAAGAAAAATAAAATTTCACTGCTAAGAAATGCTTTTCCATGGTGCACTCTGAGAACAAACCTTTTCAGAGCTGGCCTGTACAGAATTTCCAGAAATCATTTAATGGTTTCACAAAGCCTAAGAAACATAATCCATCCCTATAAAATTAGGCCCATTCCAGTAATCCTGGTTCTGCCACATGAGCAAGGCAAGTGCCTTTATGCTCTAATGTTAGACTCAATACAATTTGCTGACAAGACTGCAAATGGAAAATAATTCCTATTGGGAGCGGAAGCAAATTGATAATAATGTTACTGAAAATTTGATATAAAGGCAAACAATCCTTCTCCTTGCCCTCTCATCAGGGACAACCAAAGGCTCCAACTGACTTAAAGCAGGACAACTTCCTGGCTGCAAACAGCAGGAGCAGGTGGCTCATGCCAGTATCTCCCCCAAGCCACAAAGGGTTAAATTGCCTTATGTAGCTGCTAAGTATGCATGTGAAAATCTCAAAAGCATGCGAGTGAGCCATCTGGCTCCTGCTCCTACTGGGTATTTGGGGAGGAAAAGGGAAACTGGAAAGGTAAATAGTGTATTGCTTGATGTGTTGATTTTCAGCTGAGATTCCTCTCTTCAGTGCCTAGTCATATTTGTCCATCTAAATGAGTGGGATTGACTGTGTCTTCCCAAAAAGGGGTGAAAAAGATTAGCATGTAAGCTCTGGGAGAGCTGTGCAAAGCCAGGCTCCGCCTCATGTAACAGCTGAGGCAAATTTGTTCTGGTCTGCATCCAGAAAAAGGGCTCAGCCTCTCAGTGTCTAACTTGTGTGTAGGGATGGAGGGAGGCTTCTCACCTCGGGTACGAGCAAGATCAGGTGCCTTGGACTGAGATTCCAGATCTGGGGCAAGAGTCAGGATCACTACGGAGAGTCAGGCATCAGCTCGGACTGGAAAGAGAATGGTTTCCTACCTTAAATGTGTGTGCCAAGCCAGCAGTTTTTGGTTTTTATTATTATATTTTATTTTCTGCTGTGGTAGAGATCTAGTGGTGGGAGAAAGCAGGATGCTGCTCTGCTGGTATCACTCTGGTTTGTCACCTGGGCCAGTCTCACTTGGGAGGTTGACCTGGCCACATCCCTGATGCACTGCCGTGGTTGGAAGGTCTCAAACCCGGCCAGTGATGACACTGTTGGAAAATATACCAAGTTTGATTTTTTATTTTATTTTATAACTTTAGCCAGTTTTCACAGAATCACAAACTAGGTTGGAAAAGACCTTTGATATCATTGAGTGCAACCTGTGTTCATCTTTGCCCCAGGGGAAGGGAATTGGAGTTTCTTTCCAGGGCATTGTTCCACGAGGTAAAGGCCTGATGAGGTTAACATCTCAACAGACTGTGAGTAGCTCAAATAATACCCAAAAAGATAATGACCACCAGCAGAACATCAACAGACATCTACCTCAGACATCTGCCCCCTGGCAAGGTTGGAGACACCTAGTCCAGAAAAGACTGATGAGGAAATCAAGGAGTGAGGACGTAATTAATCAGAGGTGAAGAAATCCAGAGCCAGTAGGAAGCCAAATACTAAGAACTATATAACTTGGAGCCAATGAACATCAAACCAATGAATCTCTATGGGTCTTGACTGTAAAAAGTCTGTGAAAGATCTGGTAAAATTCATGTGTCATAGAATTTTTTCTCTGCACGCCAGGGCTATGTGTGAATGAAATGATTGCACATCCTGGCCAGAACAACATACTGATCAGAAATAAAGTAATGCTTTGATTCTCTAACACTAAAAACGTTGGAGGGCTTTTGCTTCTCCTACAGTCTTGGTGACAACACCAATGCCATTTTTTACCTGTGACTTCATGTGTCAATTCACACTGCACACCTCTGATTCCATCTGCAGGCGACAGAGACTCAAGACTCCTGAAGTCCAGGTTGGGCTATGAGCAAAAGAAAAAGCTGGTCCCAGGACTGAACCTAAATCATGTCTCCAGCTCTGCTAGAGCTGCCCACACTCTTCACCATACAACACCCTCATCCCACTCATGGCATGTGTTCCCTCCTCCACCTGCCACAACACTTGAAGTTCCCACAGTAGCTTGCCCTCCGTGTCCTGATCCCTGTCACTCTTCCTCCTCTGTAGAATGAGCTAAAACAACTCTTTCTTGCCTAGCTTAAAAATAAGCTGTGCCTTGAAGTCATCTATTTATGCCTTTTTTGGTTGTAGTTTTATTGAAAAAGCTGGTATTAACATATTTATATTTTTATTCAACAACAGTTAGCTAATTTGTGCAACACAAAAAATGCAGCCATGAACAACAGCTTTCAAAACAATCAGATTTACCAACTTTACCATCACTTACTCTACACCACTGAAAGCTCAAACTAAAAAGAGAAAGAAAGTTGGAAACGTTCACAATGACAATGTTGACTTTCATACATTCAAGAAACCAGTTACCGACCTGTAACAGTGATGTCAAAGACAGGAACGGAATACTGGTCTTTGAAAGGTTTCTATTTATTTCCTCTAGAATTACTTAATGATATTTTGGTTGGGTATTTAATTAGTTTTATAAAGCTCCAAAGATATATTTGTTTATTTAATTTTAACACGTTCTTTTTGGTACCCAAAGCTGTAACAGAGTAAGGTACTTCAAATTAAAAAAAAAAAATGTTGCTTTAAGATCTGCTTTATAATAAGTTATCTATAGAATCTTACTTGAGAATGTTCAAAGGTAAATATATGTTTTACATTATCTCTAGCTGTAAATGCCAATATGAGCTGATAGCAATTTTTTTTTCTTTTTGAGCTGCAAAGATTAATGGAGGGGTCCAAAAGTCAAAGAAATTGTATGACACCCTTGAAGCAGTAGTTTGGCATAAACAAGTTCTCTATACAATTTACCACACTCTTAAACCTTTTTACAAGGAAAAAGAAAAGGAAAAAGCAATTTTGTTAAATTCCGTTAGAATAAATATGTACATATACTGTCCATGCCTGCTACAGCACACAGTATTTTATAAACAAACATTCTTTGTTCCCTTTAAAATCACCCTACACATTTCATACTGTATGTGTTCGTGTGGCTGGAAACTGGTGCACATGTGTTTGTGCTTCTACACACAAAATATACAGCATTGATCTAGAAAACTTCAAACAGACAGATTTCAGGTGTGTTGTTGAGATGTCATATAAAAGCTCTAGACTTTGTTTTTTCATTTTTTGTATGCAGATTTTCACCCGCCCTTCCCACAAACCAAAATACAAAAGCATGCAGATCCCTTCATCAGTACATTCTCCACTTACCAAGAAATCAGTGCATAATGGCTTAAAGACTTTTTTTTCTGAGGAGTTTTAATATGGGCAGGTTAACAGGTCATGTGAGTTGTGCTCTTTTATTCATGGTTAGAGTAGGAATCCTTTGGGATATTGAATTTTCTGCCAGAGCTATTGAGGGTGCAGCAGAACTTTCTTTTCCTGGATTAAGAGGACTTCCTGCCCATTCGGATACCATTCTGCATGCCCTACTTTGTGTGTACTTCCCTTTTCCATTTATCTCACTCATCATTACAGAACAGAGATCTAACAGCATTTCTGTGGAGGAAGGTTTTGTTACGTTTGGATTTTTCAAATTTTCGTGTTTCTCCAGGACGAACTTTGTCTCCCAGAAGTGGCCTCATTTCAAAGCGTTAAAATTCACTGAGTGGTGCTGCTTCTCACAGTACCATTCCTTTCACAGTTACAGACACCAGGCATTGCCTGTATTCCCCAAAGGCCAGGATTAACACAACCATCCTGCAAACAACAAACAAGGGACTTTATCAAGCATCTAGCAGGGATGTAGCTTTGTTCCCACTCAAGTTGGTTGCTGCTTTCAAGGAGAGCACTTCTAGCCAACGTTTCCAGAACTCCAACCCCAAATGGTAGCATGGGTTTGTGTGTGATTTGCCAGGCTGTGTCTAACCAGCCAGTCCCTCCAAAGTTGCAATGCCAAGTTTTGTAATAGTCCTCACACAATGAAGATACTACTTATTGTTTTAAATAGAGCAAGAGAACCATGGAGAATAAACTTCTTAAAATAAGCTGGCTGAGTAACTGTACCAGTCTGTCACTTAGTCACTTGGGAAGGTGAAGCACAAAGTAATGTGTTAAATAAAAAAATAATTAAATAAATAAGAGGGTATTGTAAAGAAGGGATTGGGATGGGTGAGATGGGGCAGCTTTTCACCAGCAGGGATTCTGCTTCCAGCTCTAGCTCTCATGAGGTCCCTCCAATGTGCCACATGCTCTAAAGGGATGTGGCTATTCATTGCTTCAAACACGCTCAGCCTAACTGAAAGACAGGAGAACAGCACTGGAAAAAAAAAAAAAAACAAACAAGAGACTGAGGCAAAAAGCTCCAACAATGTGGTAAATGCTGTGCACTGCAAAAGCAGGAAGGGCACCAGAGCACCACAAACCACTGAGACCCTCAAAAGGATGGACGGGGGCTGAGGAGCCTCAGCCCTCCTCAGGAACACTCCTAAACTGAATAAATATCCCTGTTTGTTTAAAGGAACCGATACAGACCACAGTACTGGATTTGCACTCGTGCCTTTTACTCATACAGTTGCAGTGATGGAAAAGAATTGGCTTGCCACCAATAATGATACAGGCTGAGGGATGAAAGGATGCAACCTACAAATCCCACCACAGAAGCCAAAATTTTTGTGAAGATCACATCCTTCTACAACTCTCAAGAGGCTGGTTTGTAAATATAGAGGGATATTGATAAATCTAGTGCATTTCTGAGTTCACTTTATCCTGAAATATGTACAGATTGTTTGTCGCTGCTATAGCAATGATGTTCTCGGTTGGGTGCCATGCTGTGTGCAAGATCTTCTTAGTAAAGTCCAAACTGTCAACACTGATGTCATCTTTCCTCCTCTTGCCTCCCACGCAGACTCTGCGGGGCTTGAGGATGGCTCGTGGTTTGCTGCTCTCCCGGGAGGCCTCCAGGGTCACGTCCCGCTTGGTGTTGCGGTCAAACATTCGGAAGAAGTTGTTGTATGCACCTGTCATTATCACACTGCAGAGAGACAGACAGAGAGACACAACAAAGGCACTTAAACTGCAGCCTGTGCAAAGCCTACCAACATGCCTGGATCAGGACAGCCAACTTTGACCTTAGGGTCAGCTGTCTTCTGGTTTCAGATGGGAAAGAGTAAGGAAAAAAAAGGGGTTTTCCCAGTGCTCCCCAGAATGAAGAGTTTTCTTCTATCAATGCCTTCCCCTCCCACATTATTCAATGAAAATTACAGTTCATCAAGTAATGTCTGCTCCCTGACATCATCAGAATCGCATCAGAAGATAATAAAAGCAACATGTTTCAATAAGTTATTTTTAATTACCCTCCAGCTTTTTATGAGTGCTTAAGGATCATACATTTCAGGATTTTTCCCTTTCTCTAGAACCTTATCTTTAATGGTGGCTGAGTTTAACCATGATTCCAGAAAGAGTTGTAAAATTTCCCACATAGTTCAAAATCTTTTGATACAAGAGTAAGGTTTAGTACATAATTATGTATTTTAAAGAAGGGTGTTTTGAAAGGTTCTGAAAAAAACACACTGAATTTGCACATGTAAATTCTTTACAGATGAAACTCTTTTTCTTGCTGATGCCACAGATCTTGCAAGCCAAACATCATGAAAATTTTTATCTACAATGCTTCTTAGAAATAAATACACTGCTGTCAGGATTCTGGCATCTCTTATATGAAGTTTGAATGAAACATCAAGTCAGGATATATTTCTGGGTCTGGGAGAAAGGGACAAAAACCATACCTCGATCTGTATAAAAATTACCTCATTAGTCAGCTTGCAGTTTGAAATAATAGATTGCCAGTTGCTTCATTCCTCTAGTCCCTAGGGGAGGATATTTTGTCACTAACTTTAATGAATTCAGGATTTCATCCATGGCCCCCAGGTTATTGGATTAGCATAATCATGGGTTTCAGAGCCTTGTTTGAAAGCTCATCCCCTGTGAACTTTTTCCATATGTGAAACCAGGGCTGTTCTCTACTCTCCTATCTCAGCCCCAAACAGGGTGGTTTTGTTCTGAATTTCCATTCTGTAAGAGGGTACCATCCCAAATGGTCAAGTCTCCATGGAAAAAGCCACACAGTTTTAAGACTCAGGCAATCAGTAACTATTTGCCTTTCTAATAGAGCCCAAAAGAACATATTTGACGTGCATGGCATTAATAAACAAACCTCCATCTCAAATAAATGACAGCTGCTTTCACACTTTGGTGTTGGGGGGGATATCTGTGTTGAGCAGCAGACTGGCCAGGGAAACGTGGAGCATATGGGAGAACACTGGAGAGCTCACAGGCACAGGAGAGCCCCAGTCTCGAGCACACAGACACTCCCCAGCTGGCAGGATTAGGTGCTCCTGTATTCAGGAGTGCCTTACAGTGTGTGCACAGCCTCCAGCCAGAGCTGCCTTGATCTCATTTGGGGCCATTAGGAGTGACTGTAATACAAACGAATGATACACTGGAAAAGCACAAATGTGAGCTGTGACCACAGCTGGGGATGGGAGCAGAGCAGGCTCCAGAGCTGCTAAAGGGTACCTGGAGTGGCTGTGCTGGGTTTGCACGCTGGGATCACCCAGCTTCCCCCTGCTTCCAGGGCTGCTGGTGCCATGCTGCAGCCTGATGGCAGCTGATCCCACACCGAGCTCTGTGCAGCCCCTGGAGTGCCAAAGGGAACTGCTGCAAAGCAGAGAGTGCAGCACAGAGACCCAGCACACACTGCCCTGGGCAGGAGCTCACCTGCAGCCTTCATCCCATGGAGAGGGACTGCTGGGGGATGCACAGGGGCACTTGTCCACATCTAGCCCCATGAGCCTGGGCAGGGAGCTCCTTGCTGTTCTCCAGCAGCAGCACCTGCCCTGGTTGCCTGCAGAGATGTTTCCCATTCCTTCTGCACCCACTAAAGGCTGGGTGCAGTCCTGCCTAGCAAGGCACAAGTTAACAACCTCACAAGCTAAAAAACAGGAGTCAGTGTGACAGCTTGATAAAATGTATCCCAGAAGCTGCAGAAAGCCTATTGATCAAGATTAGTGCCCATTTCAGAAATTGAATCAACAGCAGTAAATCAAATGTTTCATTCCTTCCAAATCACCATGTCTTGTCATTACAGCTCCTGCTGTAATGGTTATTCGCAACATGAAAAAGTCGAGGTTATTTCATAGCTCAGCACTAGCAAACACAATTTGTGGTGCAGTCCATCTGTATATTTTCCCCCAGGCAAAATTGTGAAACGGGTTCATGAGGCTGGGGCACCCCTGTGCCCCGGGCTGCAGAGCTGTGGCTCCCAGGGGAAAGAGGAGCATCCCTCCTGGTGGCAGTGGGAACTGTCAGGGAAGCAGCTTTCGTGCTGGCAGAGTACCAGTGCACCAAATGCAGAGAGAGGTGTTTGTTAAGGGTCTTATTTTAGAAGGTTTTGCTTGCAGTAAAACTGCCTTTACAGTCCATTTGCTTTTTAATTTCTTGAACTCTTGCATATTTTTAAAAGTCTGCTTTCTTCAGTTGGATTTACTGCAGTTATTTTTTAACATATGTAGATGACTACTTTTCATGCTGGCCCTGTTTTCTACAGTTTAATGGCTCAGTAAAAAACAGCATTATGTAAATGAGAAAGTGTCCATTCTTGTTCAAGGTCACAAACACAGATGGATTATAACCTTACCTGCTGCTTAAAGTAATAAAAGACAGTGAAAACTAGATGTAAGCCTGCCATTTTTTCCCTGTTCAGGAAAATACAATGTACAATAATGGAGTCTATGTGATAAACAGATTTTTTTTTAAATAATGGAATATAAATTGTAGCTCAATGTAGTATTCCCAGACACTGCTCTGCACAGCAGTGTTATGCACAAAACCCTTGCAGGAGAGGCTGGTCCAAGAAGCCAAAGCCCCTCATTCAAAACAGCCATGCTACTTCATAGGTGTGTAAGGCAGCAGCCCAGAAAAGCTCTGTCTAATTTTCCACCTTTAATTCTCATTAGAAGGCAGGTTAAGAAGCTGTGCTGCACAAGGTCAGAGGTACCATCATCTCTGACCTGCAGAGGTATTTTGGAATCAGAGCACACCCCAGTGCACCCTGAGGAGCACTGACAGCTGGAGCTGAGCTGCAGCCTGACTGCACCAGCTCAAAACACACAGCTACAGGCAGCATGATTACAAAAAAACACCCAAATAAAACAACACCACACCTCATCTCCTCCCAAACAAACCCCTCAAACCAACCAAATAAAAAAGCAGGGAAAGACCCCAATGGGTGCACCATGACTACCACTACCTGCATTTCCCCCTCTGCAGCCCAGCCAGTGCTCTGGAAGGAGAAACACCCACACCTGCAGGGCCAGGAATGCATTCACACAGCCCCAGTTAACCCTCCTGGGCTGCCCCATGTTCCCCTCTCAGCACAGGGCTGCTCTGCACAGCACCTCGAGGATTCTCTGCTCCCTCTGCATGATCTGCTCCAAGCGAGGTCCTGGCAATTCTTCAGGTATGTGTGCTTGGAGTGACACCACAAAATGCTACTGATTCCTCCTGCCTGCACTGACACTGGGCACAGTTGCTTATCAGTGATGTGATCTGAGGCACCTCACTGCCAAACTTCAGCCCTCATGTGGGGTCACTGCAGCCCAGTCTTACCCCTCCTTTTTCTTTACCAGAAATAACAAATATATTTTTACAGAAGGTAAAAGGTGAAAGGGAAAACTCCAGTGCAAGAGCAATCCTTACTTTTATTGACTTTTCACTCCCTCCCTAGACACGGTTCTGTTCTTCTTTTCTTTTTCTTCCCTCCAATTCTGATTTGCCTTTACCACATTTTCCAGATAGGTTTCCCTTTCCCCCTCTCCTCATTCTCCCCTCTTTTTTCATTTCCATCAATCCTGCTCTACAGCTTTAAAATAAAAACCTGCCTTATCTGCTTCTCTCTTCCTTTCCCCACCCCTTTCAAGTCTTTGTTTTACTTCTGCAAGTCTCCTTGCTCACCCTTTCTGCTCATCCCCTACCCTCCAGTCTTGCAGACAACTTGCTTGGCTCTCCAGGTGTTTTGGCTTGCATCCCTGCTTTCTTTGGGCTGAAAGCTCGGGAAACAGCAAATCCCCAAGAACCAAAGCTAATTTGGGCAGGAGAGGTAGTTCCCAAATTAGCAGAACATTAACTCTACACCTCCCACTCAGTTCAAGTTTCTTCACTCTATGCTGCATTGATCTGGTACCCAGCAATAATTCAGGTAGGGTTGTTTTTTCTAAAAATAAAATTTCAATCTGTAAAATTGTCTGAAATAAAGGATTTGAGAGAATAGAGTTCTTCCTGTTTGCATTGTAACAGTAATACCCAAAAGGAGCAGATGTTTATCTATGGATAATGATTTTATTAAATATAACACCAACATTGTACCACTGGAGTTTAATTTAGGGCCAGAGTTTTAGGGTCTACAGAAGCAGCCTCTCAACTACTGATGGCTTCAGCATCTTTAATTATTTTAATACTTTTAAGCATCTGAGTCTCAATATTTTGGTTTTGTTAGTGACTTGTTAAATGAAATAATTCAGTATGGGATTTTCCCTGTTAAAAAGTTCTGCTCCTCTTGGGTGGTCAACAAATTCTCTACTTCATCAGCTTCAAAGGCATTTGAATAGGATTTTCACCATTTTACTAACCTGCAATGAAATATTCCATAATACTTTTTAGGCAATGAGATTATATCAAACATGTCAGTCACTAAGAACTGGCATATCTCAGTATTTCTCAGATTTGTTATTCCCATACTTCAAGCCAACCTCTTAAATGTTATCCACGTTGCAACCATCCTTGCACTCAACAGCCTTCATCAAAATGGCTCCATTCAGCTGTATTCCTGGATGCCAGGGATTACCCTGAAGATTTGGGGTATCTGCTGGAATTAAGGCTTGCTTAAAAATCAAACCGTTACTTGCTCCACATTGCTTTGTGTTGCTTTTCTTGTTTAGGGTTTTTTGTTTATTTAGCTCTTTGAAAATTTTTGGGCTTCCTCTGGCCCAAACTAGTCTTCCCAGATGCAGAGAAGTTTTTATTCACCTGCAGATTCCTACTGTCTGGAGAAATTCAGCTCGTTGCATAGCTCCCCTCATTCACTGTTGCTCACGAGACCATGGAGGCCATGGGATGGTGTGACAGGACAGAGCAGGGCTCAGCAGGGCTTCAAGGACCTGCACATGCCCTGCTTAAGGGTGATAGGAAAACAAAACCAGCCCAGCTGCCCTGCCCCTCAGTGCAGGTGTGGCAGCAGAACATCATTCCTTGGGGCAAGAGGCAGAGCTTGGACTTTGCAGCTGAGAGGGGAGGAGACTCAGAGAGCAGCTCCCACCAGAGCCTGCCCCACAATTGCAAATATCAGCAAAGATGGTCCTCAGGCACCCAGCATGAAAAGAGACCTTTTCTTTGACCTGAAATTGTCCCCCAATTGTATTTTGAGCCCCTAAATTTTCAGTATTTCACTGCCACGTGTATGAGTGCAAAACAGAACATCTGCAGGCTCTTAGGATTAACGTGTAAAGTCTACCAGATCTGGTTTCATGACAAGCTGACCCAATGAAGGAAGAGTTGATTCCAGAAAAACTCTTACAGAACATTTTTAATAGGAATAAGATTTTTAATTTTAATTCCTATTTTTAATAGGAATAAGATGGAGGATTTATTATAGCAAAAGGAAAAGAGGAAGCATTGTTGCAAGCAATGAATTCCTGAAATACTGGGAAATTTTCCTGTGTGCTGTGCTGTAAAGTCACTAACTCCCCATCAAAAAGAGGGAATTTATTTAAACCTGCTAGAAAAACTTGAGACACTTGACTTGGATTCAGGGTTGTGGCACCCTGGTACAGCTGGCTGGCGTAAGACTGGGAATATGAACAAGGGATCCCCAAGTACTTCCAAGCTCTTATTTGACATGCCAAGCTTCGAGAACAAAATGATGTCTTCTAGCTCTCCAGCATGGAGTGTGCTGCCAGACAGGAATAGGCTCTTAACATCTCATCCAATGGGATCTGCCAACTCCTGATTAGAGTGAAGGCTGATGGATATTCAGGGGGATGAATGACAGTTCAGTAGGAAAGGACTGACTGAACAGTTGTATGTGATTTCACTCATCTGCTTGCAGCATCTCACTTATCATGATGGTGGTTAGAAGTCTCCCTGGCAGGGGTCCTATACACCCATTCATTTGAAATCTTCAAAAAAAAAAGTAGTTAACTAAGATATTCACTTGCTATTACAACGAATTGGGTTTTATTTGGGTTTTTTTTTCTGGCTTCTTTACCACACAAAAAGCTACAAAAGTGTTTATTTTTTAAGGTAAAACTGAAAGCTGTTGATAGTGGGAAGAAAACTGTGTCCTCCAGGTCATTATTGAAAGACTTGACTTTGGATGTGAATGGAAGAGGTAAATTAAATTGCCGTATAAGTAGAACTCACGTATTCTACATAGTCATGTAATGATGTATACACAATAAAGATAGCATGATTTTTGTGTAATATACTCAACTACAGATAATACATGCTCATCTGGATGAATTAGTGTGAGACCCCTGCTTGGCTCCCTCCCCTGACCACTGTTGCCAAAGTACACAGTGATTAATGTGTCCTTCAGCAGATGAGATCAGCTCTGTCTGATTGTATTAGTTCCTGCTCATTGGAGTAACTGAGCATCAATCACGTTCTAATCAGAGCTCATGTATGTTGATTATTTTTGTGAACAGCCTCACCATCAGGTTCTATCACAGCAGAGATTAACTTCTTAGTAATGACAAAACTTAATACAAAGTATTTTCACCTAAATAATAAACACACTTTCATTTTTAATTGAACAATCCAGTCAGTATAAATTGTCACTATAGCTTTGAAGTCTCCAAAAGATAAAACCAATACATTTAGAACTACAGTCATCACTGTTGTGTAGATGGATTAATAATCTAAGTACTGCAGCGTCTCTATGGAGTGCAATTATCAATATGGAATTTTTACCTTTAGTAATAGTCCTTTTTTAAAAACTGCATAGGAAGAGACTCAAATTAAGTGACCTTACTGTTCAAATGAACTGTTTTTTAAGAGGTACCAGTACCTAAGTATTATTTACACTATGATCCTCCAATAAAAAAATGTCCTGGTAACATATAGAAATACTTATCATATTCATAAAGCAAGGAGCTCAGAGGAGTGAATCAAAAAATGAGCATCAATTCTCATACATCTGACTCCTAAAAGGAAATAACTAAATTAAAGAGAGCCCTTTTCTTTTGGCAAATGTTTCCAGTGCCTTTACTTGAGAGTTTCTTACAATCAAGAGCAGCACATTGTGCTTGGTGACGGGTTTGGTAATTGTGCATGACTAATGACGCCTCAGTGTCTGGGCAGTACAATAAATGAAGCCCTCACAATCTAATGTTCCCACTTAATAATTACTCCCTGCATTGATCTTTCTGATCTGTCAAGTAGGAATGAAAATATTACACTCACTTTAAACCCTGATATTGAACAAGAATTCCATTACTAGCAGGCAGCTATCCAGAGAGTGGTCTTACCACACTAATGAGGACAGCAGCACTTCATCTGCCCAGAGGAGAGAGACTCTAGGCCTGGGAGTAACTGGCTGCCCAACCTGTAAAATGCACTAGGAATTGCCATCAAGGATAAGCAAAACGGTTTGTAAATACCTGAAAAGTCCTAGATCTTTTTCAAAGTTTCCCAATGTCTACATTATTTGAATGCACTGCTGTTCTGTGCCAGACTTAGGCAGGAATCAGCACTGTCTTTTTTCCAATAAATGCATTAAATTTTGTATTTCTAGTAGGCCAAACTCAAGCCATGACCACACTGAGAAAATCCTCTGCTAAAACAACCATTCATGCATTGGTTTGGGAGTTTCAGAGAAAAGCCCCAAAACCTGGATCTTCCACTAAACTTTCTGTGAGTCATTCCCAGTCTTTGACCATACCAAAGCCACAACAGCTGGTCCCCAAGCTTCAGTGACAGCAATCTGAGAAGTATTTTGCTCAGTGTGGTCTATCTATGTAATTTTAAATGGCCAGCAGTTGGTATCACAAGGGACGCTCAGTGCTGAGTCAATTTTTGTCAAAAAACAAATCACTCTGGCACGCAGGCATTAGAGATAATGGAATATATATGTATTTTCATTTGCATTATGAATGATACAAGGGTAAAGTTTCATTTTTTAGCAAAGACAGAATCTTTCCATTGGGCAGGCAGAGGAACTGAGCAAAGGAAAGTAGTCCAAAGAGAAGGTGCCCCTTACCAGTGTACAGCATAACACTGATCTGCATTTGTGGAGCACAAGACTAGATGAGACTTTGTTCTGCACTTTCAAATTCAGACCTGTAATTTTGACCAAAGTTACATATAACTGCTTTCACAAATTTCCTGAGCACCACCACCAGAACAGTTGGGTTTCTTGTATCTGCACCACTGAGGATGGGAAGGCAGCTTGTCACTGTTTGGACAGGTATGAACTACCTCTAATTTCCAGGTTATAACTACCTGTTGACTCTCAACACCTGCCTGCTGTTGTGCCATTATCACTCACATTTATCTTAGCTAGATTCTCTTCCTCCCTATGTATATCTCCTTGGTATACTTACTACAAGCAAGTAAAATCTTGGCTTCTCTTTTGCTAAGCTGATGAAAACCAAAGTCCTGGCCTCTCTTCTTTAGAGCAGCTGTCCATCTGCTCGATTAGTTCATCCACCTTGGAGATGAGGGACAGGAAATGTGTAAATGCAGTTCAAAGGTCTTTGAATAAGAGCCCAACACAATGTCACCACGACTCCTTTCTCTGCTGGATAGCCCAGTCTTGCCCATTCATATTTGTCTTTCACAGATGTCTCAGACTGCCTGTTTCACAGCCCTTGCCCACTCCAGGGTGGGTAGGCCTGCTTCAATACAATGAGACAGACTGTTTTCCAAAATGAGAGGCTGAGCTGAAGGAGCAGTTCTAGGCTCAGTGCCAAACTTCTGCCTCTTGGCTCCTAACTCTGCTGAACCAGGAGTCACTGTGTGTCACTCAATATTGGCTCCTGTGCTCTCTTTCACATGCATTTTGCAGACTGCTAATCCCTTCCAAAGTCACCTAGCATATGAATGTCCCTGGGAGTTATTTCCAACTGCTAAGATGAAGATTGTGCTCTTTTTTTAACTAAAATCCTCACCTTGCATTATACTCTTGGATTTTATCCATTTTTATTAACCCAGTCCTCTTGGCTGCTCAGCTATTCCTGTACCTCATTCCTACTCCACAAAGCACTGCCACCATTTTCCAGCATTAGGGCATTAACCCACTCCATCCTTGCTCAAACTCTCTGACTTGCTCTAGCATTTCTCATTAAAATGTTCAACAAGATACAATGTCCAAGATAAAGAGAACCTCTCCATCAGTACATAGGGAAAGGGACTGCTCTGATGGAGGGAGATATCAGAAGTGTCATTGGGCAGCAGTTTGTAGAGAATCAGTGGGTGCCTGTGATGGTCCTTCCTCACACCCATTTCCAGTAAGGGAACTGAATTTCTGAGGTAGCTCACGTGCAAATACAGGATCATGTAAGTTTCCTTAGTGTGTTGGTGAGATTTTGTGAGTTGGCATCAGTCTTTTTAGCTTTTGCAGCCTATTTATGATTTGGATGAAGATGGACATAATTTGAAGGGTTTTTTTCCCTTAAGGCCCGAGCCAATGTTATTAAGGCACACATCATTTCTAAGGCAGAGACACAACTGCACAAACATCCAAATCTTCTATCTTCCCAAACACTGGAATGTGATTTTGCACATTGATTTGGAAAATAATCACCTGTAACTGCTTTTGGTTTGCTCCCCATCATATGGGAGGTGTTCTGCCAAATGAGGACAGTGATGGAGAGAAGGATGGATTGATTACCTGTCTGATCCATTCCATGCACATTCAAACTTGTCAAAGATGCAGTCGTTTTCATAGAGGGAACACAACTTGCTTCTAAGGTAATCATGGACCTGTTTTAAAGAAAATAACTGTTATTCTTGAAATCAAAGAAAATATAAAACTCCACAACCCGCCTTTCACTTTTTGCATAATCGCCCATGTTCTCTTTCAAAATATGCTGCATAGATTGGTAGCTGTGCAGAAGATGCTGCATTTAAGCTCCAGAGAAGCTAACTGTACTTTTCCACAGCCCAGTTAACCAGGTGCTACAGAATTACTGTTGTAGGAAGGCACAAAACAGGCTTCCCTCAGCAGGCTGCAGACCACCCCTCTTCAACATATTTGTTTCCTGCTTGGGTGATTTTCTCAGTGCTAGCCTAATTCCCAGAGACATTTCACCAGCTGATACCCTACATGGGCTAATTAATGTGCAAGAAATCTAATTTAAATAGTAACAAAAATGCCATATTCCAAGATAAGTGGGTTCTCACTTATGGCAGAAATAACTTGGCTCTATTAAAAGAACCTTTATGGTATGACATTTATTTTTGTAAGGTATTTTAGAAGTCAAATACAGCACAAGGTTGCAGTTGCACAGGTTGCAAATAAGAACACTAATTTAGCCCAAGGATTTCTCCTATTTGGCTGAGACTTAAAAGCGACATTGCAAATTTTCACTTACTAACTATAAAAGTGAGAGTAGCCGGCAGATCTCTCTCCTCTAGGCCACACATCTCTGAATAAGGATTATCATAGAGATCTCATGCAAACTGTTTCAGTCCTTTGCTTAATTTGATTTGTTTTTCTTTTGGATTATTTAGTTTATTTCATAAGGAAATAATAAGGTACAAAATCCCTGCCTAGATCAATTTACTAATGCACTTCCACTCCTGATATTTTCTTCAGCTGTTGTAGAAAGTGTAAAACAAAGATGTGTAGGTGACCTCCTGGAGAAACACACCGATCCAATGGCCCAGGGGTAATTTAGCTCTGTCATTCTGAAGTTACTGGTTCTTGCAAGTCCAGTTCCTGCTCATGGATGCCCAGCATCCTCCTCTGGCCTGAGGGCACAAACATTTCTTCTAGTAAAATAGCTTCTGCCAAGACCAGATGAGGGACAATGAACTTTCACTTAGATTTTCTTTAAACTTACCCATTTTTGATAGTCAAATTGTACAGTATCCAAAGAATGTTTGTAATGTAAGATTACTAAGGATTATAAATTTTAGTTATAGATCAATTTTCATTAATAAATGAACACTGAACTGCTCATTAACAGATAATGTCTTATACAGGAATTAGTTGGCAAATGGCAGATAGAACATTCCACAATTAAATGCACCATTCACAGTGAGCAATAGGTCAGAACACCTACTATTGATGCAGTCTCCTACACTCTCTAATTAAATCCTTTCCCTTTCTCTTTACTTACAACCTTTTTGTGTTAGCAGTGTAATTTGTTACAGAATTGGAATTCTTTCCTTTGTCATGCTTGTGAGCTCCCAATATTTGGAAGAAATAGAAAGGTTGGGTAAGGCAGAAGGAAGCCGATCACAATTTCCTCCCTGACTGTCATTTCTAGGTTTTTCTCTTGTTACCATTTCCAGCAGCCATCTGTCATGACCACTGTCATGTACACACCCTTTGCAAAGTGTGTCCAAGTCCACAGCTTGGAGCAGTGCCTTTCTATCAGCTTTGTCAAAAAGGATTTTGCAATGCCTCTCTCAGATGTCTTACCTTGTCAAGACTGTCAGACTCACCCTACTGCCCTGGACAACCACCTTGTTCTTTGTGTGGACTTTTGAGTTCCACATTTGAGCACATTCAGACCCTCAGAGAGACCGTGAAAAACTAATTGTAAGGAACACTTAATTTTCACTGTTTGTATATTCATCTGCTTCTACCAACTGAGGGGAAGATCAGATTTGTCTTGTCTGTTACACCTTGTTCTTACCACATATCAATAATACTTGAAAGCAAACCAAACTCATTCCTCACTAATTACTAAGGACCTTTTCTTCACTGCAACATCTGACCCTCATGGAATTATCCAGCAATTCTGTGCTCTGGACTCACAGAGCAACACAGCTACACAGGGACCTGTTGTATTGGGACTGAATACACACAACCAGGAATTCCACTGGCAGGTGACACACTGGTCCAAATCCCTGTGCTACAGACCCTGCCTAAAGTGGATCAAGCTATTTCCAGCTATGAATGTGCTCACCTTGCTGCTCCCAAGGTTTCTGCTGGGGTAATTCACCTGGCAGCATCAGGAGAGTAACCGGTCAGGCAGGGCTGCCTTGCAACAACACTCAAGCTCTGGCCTTTCCCCTGCACTGCTCTCTTAGTGCTGTCCACTGACCATACCCTGCCCTTTTTGCTTTTGTGTGAAACTAACAGGAGAAAATCTTGTTGTCAGCAGATAATGTGTTCAGCAGGGCTGCAGCAGCTGCTCTATGCAATAGCATTGTTTGAGCACAGCACTGATATGAAAAAGAACTTGCATGAGGAATTAATTCTTGTGTGTCAGGTTTTTAATATTAAAACTGGAAGCTAATAATGAAGCAGTACAGTTATGGACTCTGCTCTTTATTACAACTCTGTGTGAAATCTCCTGTTGTGACCCTCACTATTGCAGCTAGGCAATATCCTACCATGCAGTGGATGAAATGAGAAAATCAATCTTTTAATGAACACCTTTTAATCTTTTTATGAGGTATTGTCATCGTAATTATGTGGATACATAACTGAAAACGCTAGGTTTATTTGCTGCCTTACAGTGATCTACCCCAAAAAAACCTTTTGAGAAATTTCCAAGTTTGTATATGAGATTTAGGTTTGTGAAAGAGAGAGATATCTCTAAGACAAATTATTTAAGAGAGTAATTTAAACCACTTTTTCTTAGGGAAGAATTCTCTACTCTCTGCAGCTTAAAAACATGAAAGGTTCTCAGAAGATTTGGATCACATGAATCCTATGGAATCCTGTGCTATTGGCTTCCAAGGCCCCCAGTTCCAGATTCTCCTTCAGTCTAGTGCAATGCCCAGCAACACATCTGTATATTCTTTACAAGGATAAATATTTGAAAGTGAAAGGCAATCAAATATTTAAGAAGACTGTTATATTTTTCTGTGTTTTTTAATATTATATCAGGGCTTTTATTGTTGTGGGTCTTGGTTTTTTTTTTTTTCTATAAACTTCTGACTGCTATTATCAGTACTCATTTTTCCCCATCTCAGCATGAAGAAATAAAACTTTTTAATTGGCCCTCCTGTTGGGTGCCAGACTGATTTAAAAGTGACCAGCTTGTTTCACAGCTGCCTGCATGAGGAAATAAAAGCAGGTGTCAAAACCAAGACAAACTGGTTGGCTTGACCAGCTATTCCTCCCCAGGGACAGGGCTGCCTACTAAATTAGCATAGGTATAAAGTAATATATTACCTAAGCTCCCCAAAACTGGGATTCTATTCTATTCTATTCTATAAAACATAGTCACACCCTTACCCTCCCACTCCACTTTCACAGCATATCAACATTTCTAACACATTCAGCATTTAAAGCCATTTTAAGAGAAAACCTGGTTGTGTAGACTTAAAGGTAAACAGGCTCAGACTTTCCAATATTAACACATTGAGCAGTGAACAGTGAACAGTGAGCAGTGAACAGTGAACATTATCCACCAAAATGTTATGGATGCATTGAAAAATACTGGGGCCCACTCTGTCTACTAAATGCTAGCTAAAAAATACTGGAAAATTTTGCTTGTTTTGACAAGAAATGCTACCAAATTCTCATCATAGTTTTTTAAAACCAATCTTAATTATAATTACTGTGAATTACTGTATGCCACCTGCTATTATTTAGACACAGAAAACAAGAGACCTATTCAGCACTGTCACAGGATTGTCCCTCAGTAAGCAGCACAAGCTGGATGAATGGCATTTTTCCTACTTTGCATACACTTTTTTAGGTAACTTAACAGGTTTTTTTCTTACTGCATTTTCATAACAAGCAGTTTCTGTGTCACAGACATATTTTCCTTCTTCAAGCCAGAGTAAAAAAATGTAAGCTCAGCCCTCTATTGCCAAACATAACAGATGTCAGAGTACAAACTTAGCTCTGGCTGGAGCCACTGGCATTTTGTCTGGATAGTATCTCAATGAATTCAGGCAAGCAGATGTGTCTGTCTGGCATTTGTGAGCTGCTGTGTCAGTGGTGATGCCAGGGTTTAACAGGGAGCACTTCTAGTGCTGGGCACAGGGGAGAAACACACAGATGAAGTTGTAGAACGTAATTCTGAAATGCCAAAGGTGTAAACTTTCAGTAGTCCCACCAGGAGCAGAGTGCTAAGCAACACACAAAATCTCTTCCTCGGTTCCTTTTAAATGTTAGTAGTGAAATACATCATTTGAAAGCAGGTGCCAAAGTGAAGAGATGATTTCTCTTGTTAGAATAATCATTTCTTTCAAGAGCCCAATCCACAGGGAGTGCTACCTTGACTCCCCAGGCTTTACACTTCCTTACTAATGCTGCAATTGCCCTTTTCCTGCTATAAGGATGCCACTGTGAGGGTTTTAACCACCTTGACTAATTCTCTTAGCTTGCTGCTTCTTAGGTAAGGTTATGAGAAGTTTACAGAAACATTCACTTTTTGAACACTGAGATCCTTTTATAATGTTGCATTTTAAGAGTAAGAGATTCCTACCTGGTACGTTTCTACAGGCTTTGTTTCCATGTTCAGATCCCAAACCTTGACAGTGAGGTAATCTCTTGTAAGCATGTATCTACCACTGTGACTGAATTTGACATCTGACACTGAAGAGATAATTTCTGAAAAAAATGATCTGTTACTGGGGTCTTCTGGTTCTTCATAAACTGTTCAAAGAAAAAGAAGGAAGAGACAGAAATCAGAATTGTAGAAAAAATGCTCTGTTTTAAAATCTGAAGTGTGCATTTCTCGTGAAACATGTAATTCAATCTACCAAGGAACATAATATAGAATTAATTGTATATCCAGCATTTAATTTATTCTTTTAACTTCATATAAAAATGCAAACTGTAAGCTTTAAACATTACAATAATCAATGTTACAGCAATGGACTCAAAGCATGACTTTGGGAGATTATGCAAATACACTGATTAGTTGATTACAGATACCTATAGCAAGGCATTTCATGCCTTCGTTCTTTCTGGGGTCTGCATACCCCATTTCCCAACATAACCAAAATCCAGGTGTCCCTGTCACATGAGGGGTGTGTACATGGGGTGTCACTTGTCCTGGCATCCCTGGGAGGGGTGGTTGCTCAAAGCCTGCCCTACTTGCCAGAACCAGCTGCCCTCACTGCACTGGTCATGAATGAAGGCATCCAAGACTAAGGACAAGAATTTTAAAAATCAACTGCAAATTGCAATCATCTCCTCCTGAGAGGTGAGCATAAAATAGACAGGGGTTTACCATAGTTGGTGTGCAATTGCTGACAATTCTGGAAAGCACTGAACTCCCTGAATGTGCTGGTCAGCAGTTCAGTGAGATCTGACAAGGCAGCAGTTACGAAATATTGCTTACACGATGTTCAGACATAAAAATTCAGATCCTGTAGCTGTGAGATTGGTCATCCCTGTTCAGCTGTGCATAATAATGACAGTGGATGACTCTACCCCTACCTCAGGGGTCCTAGAGCAATTGTCTTTCTGCAGGTATCTGTGGCCCTGTGATCCAACTGACCTCTGTGGTGAACTTCAGTAGAAAGTTGGGCTTTCAGGGTCTTTTAACTCTCACAAAATCACAGGTTTTTGGGACCTATGCCTAGAATATTCTTTGAAAATTGGCAATTTAGTGAACTTCATTTTTAAGTTTCAAAAGCAGGTGAAGAAAAGCCATGTGATGAAACAGGAAAGCATGCTGAAAGCAGAAAAACTCTTTACTGTCATTCAAAATGAAGTTTTTTGTACAGTCCACTGGAACATTTCTCTCTCAATTATTTTATCCACGACTATGATGATTCAGACTGTTGGAAGCAACAAGGTTAGTTTCCATTAGGTGAAATAATGTTCTGCTGAAAGTTAAGGGTGAGTACGTGGGTGAAGTATGTGGGGTAATGCAAAAAATTATGGGCAATTTTCTTTGGGGGTGGGCAGTGGAATGCAGCCAGGCGGGCACATGAGAATAAGGTCTATATTTAAACATGCACCACACATCTGAATGGCAATGAACTAGTTCAAAAAGAGTAAAAAACTTTTCAGATAGACTGTAAATGAACAACTTTAAATAGCTCTTTAAAATTTTGCCTAGACATTCTGCAAAGCAGGTATTTTGTAATTATCCTGTCAGATTTTCAAGAGAAGTCTGATGAGCACAAAGCAATTATCATTTCTCATACCTCTTCCCTTTAATCTCTCCAAACTACAGACTTGGCTGGCAGGAATTTCATCCTCCTAATTATGATGGGAAGCTGCTATTAAAACCAGGAAAGAAAAAACCAAAACCCACTCTAACTGAACTACACCTTCATTTATAGCTTAGATATATTTTCATGGCTCTATGGGGCTCATTCAACTCCCAGTGATTAGAACAGGAGAGATATTTGTACCTGAATGTTTTGAATTTTGTTAATTAATGAGATTAAACAATTTCATTTGTTATCTGCCCCATTTATTGCTTTTCTATGCTTACTGTATAAAGTATTAGAAAGACTTAGATTAATTAACTATGGAACTAACAGAGGCATGAAAGTCTCATATCACTACAGAAAGAAAGACAGCAGCAGAAATTTTAGTAGCAGCAATTCTTTGGAGATAGTTCCTCTAGTCAGCATAACCAACACAGGAAAATTGCTACAGGAAATTGAGGAGCAGCTCCCAGTGAAAAGAAGAGAAAACTCAGCAACCACCAGCATCTGCCTGAGCAACCAGAACAAGGCATCAGCCTCAGGAAATGAAGGTGAGAGAGTGTTCTTGGGGCTGGGCTATTTCTGGTTTAGCATCAACATAAGGTTATGCACATACTGCAGAAAAGCACGACCTTCCTTCAGTTTGCCCAATACAAGTGGAGTAATTGGAGACAGAGCAGCAGTGAAGTGATAGCCTTGTGACTCAGACTTCAGTTCAGGCAAGCAATTCAAATTCAGCCCTGACCTCTCCAAGCTGATGGAAAAAGCCACAAGTCTAGCCCATGGCTTCCAAAACACATTTTCTGTTTATTACTGTTCAGACTTATCTTTTGGAGGCAGCAATCAGCACCTGAAACATGATATTTCAAAGCTAGCTTACTTCTCTGTATCTAACTTTTGTTAGATCCGAACTTTACTGACATTTGATTACAGAGTCTATCATATTCTTTAATTCATTTCATCATTAATTTAGTAATAACAAACATCTGCCATAAAAAAGGGGTATTTAACTTTCACTGCTCTTGTTCTTGATAATGGTCACAGTGCTAATTACATGAAAGACACAAAGTTATCTGTCTAACTACCTAATGAACACAGGAATCACAAATGACGTGAGTGCCGAGTTCTCACGTGACACTTGCTCAGGCTTAAATGTGACAGGACTCTGGCACAGAGAAATATCATGGAACTACAGAGGAAAGCAGAAAATATCTCTGAGTACAGCCAGTGTTTCAAGAGGAGCCTGCCAGGAAGACACTGTTCCTGCCCCTTATGCCACCAGCAGTCACATGGATAAACTGGGAAGGCTGCTCAGGGAAATAAAAATGCTCAATTCCTTTCTGCACAGCTCACAAGTTAAAAACCACAGTAGCTTCTTAGAGAAGTCCAGATTTTGCAGAGAAGGATGGGTTCATGGAAGGATACTTCCCAGAGTGCTGTTTTCGTGAATCCTGAAGAAAATCTGTAGCATAAAAATATGCTGCTTCTTTCTTAAAAGGAAATACCATCTGCTGAAAAACAAACTCTTATCTCTCATGAAAAATATTCTTGTTTCCTTGTGAATTTCTCTGATCTAATGCAGAATGGAGACTTTCCTTTTCCAGTGGATAGGAAAGGCATCTCTAATATGGAGATATCTAAAGTTAAATAAATAAGATGGCCCAGGAACAGCAAGAGTAGCTGGAAAAGTCCATTTCCCAGCTTCCCTCCCAGACACTGGCCAGGAAGAAAAAAGAAAGCAGGAGCCTCAGGCAGTAACCAAAAGAAGTGTGGTACACTAACACCTTGTGGCTCTCATCTGCACTCTGGGGGTCACAGGCGCTGCCACCTCAACTTCCCATTAATATGGGCCTGATTCTGATAGTAAAAGGTTTTAAAATCATAAAATTCGGGAATTAGAAAGAAGCTACTTAGTGGGGCCCTGGAAAAATGTTAAAAATAGACTCTGAAAATGTTAGGCTTTGTGTTTGCCAGATCATGTGAAATTGCACCTGCCCAAGCAGTATATGATAAATTATATAATTGTTAAATATGATGATTGTTTAGTAATTAAACATAATTATTGTTTAATCGTAAGAAGAATCATGAGAAACTATGTTAGAAGTTTGAGGGGGACCACGAGGAGCCCATGTTTGGCTGAAATCTATGTATACAGTAGAACAATATAAGTTTAATAATTAACATGAAAGTTATATAATGATATAATATAAAAACATGATCATCCTGAACCCATGTTGGAGTCAGATTTGGGGTTGTACCTCTGACACCCAGAGCTCTTCAATAAAAGCAACTGCATATAATCATTCTCGTGATTATGTGTTCCTGAACGCTAACAATTCCACACACCTGAATCTTCTATTTATTGGGAAGATACATCCAATAAAGAAAACCAAAATCTAACCCAAAGTAATTTTCAAGTTCGATTCTAAACAAGCAGCTGGGCAGAGCTTTAATCGTTGCAGGGTGTAAATTCTGGCATATGTGAACTTTAAGAAATATTAAAAATAATGCTAAAATTGTCTTATATGGTGGGTGCAGTGTCACAATCTGATATAGTATAGAAAATTCTGTATTCCTCCTGAAATCATCACAAGAAGGAAAACTTGAAAATGAACAGAAATCTGCTCCACCAATTTTGTAAGAAATTCCATCAGTCATAGGATAAAAGTATAAACAGCTTTAAAAGGCTCATTCTCTCTAGGAGAAAAAAATCCCACTGCTTTCCTTCTACTTACAAACAAATAATAACTTATTAAGGCTTTTTTTTTTTTTTTTAACAGGATGCTGTTTATAGTTTCTATCCTGTTCTGGAAATTTCTGATCTTACAGTACTTGTTGTTACTTGGTGGAACATGACAGGAAAAACATTTTTTTCATTTTTATTATATAAGCAAGTAAACATTCTGCAGCTAGACTAAATTAAGAATTACTACAGATAAACCCCTGGGTTATACTGGTACACAAATAACAGGTGAATTTCAGCTGCACCTGGAAATACCAGTGATGGATCAGGTAATCCCTCACTGGGCTTTAATTTCATAAACACACAAAATGGGCTCAGTCCCAGGCCAAATAATTTATCATTTGAACTAAATCCCTATTTAATTCCAGATCCCAAATGAAAATGGCTGCAATCCCTGATTAGAATGTATTGGAAAACAGTACTTTGAAATGTATGGGATTTCACTGGTCATGACAGACTAGCTACAGGAAGAAAAGAAGCAAGAACCAATATGTTTTCCTAATGGATGATAAATAAAAAAAATTTAACCAAAATGACAAATTATTTAACCATACTTTATTATTTTAAATGTCAAATTAGCATTATTCCCAGGTCAGCTGTGATTTGCTCTATCACATATTTCATAAAAAACCTGAACTAAATTTCATTTGAGCTTCTATGAAAATACAAATATTCTTTCTTTTTTTAAGTACATGACACTTGTTACTAATGTTCAACACAGAAAGCATTTTTTTTGGTGCTGT